CTAGGTCCCTTCCGACCCTTAATCTATGAATCTATGACACAGAGCAGCAGTCAACCCCTGCCCAAAATGCTCACAGGATGCCCAAAAACTACATGGAGTTTGCAGAAAAAGCCTCTGTGAAGGATACAAGTTTTTTTTGTTTTTTTGTTTTTTTTGTTTTTTGTTTTTTGTTTTTTTTTTAAAGAAATGTTTTGTGATCCAAGCCAAATCAAGTCCAAATCCATGAGTCAGTCCAGAACCATAAGTGGCCCTACGACTGGCAAACATCCTCCACCCCAACCAGGGGCTTCAGATATTTCCAGTCTTTTGGCAGGCATCCTACATGCAGGCCCAAGCCCGGAGGCTTGGGGTTTGGATGCCCCCAAGTTTCGCCTGCCCCCAGCCATATGGCCGCAGGAGCAAGCTAGGGAGGATCCGCCCATTTCCATAAAGTGGGCTTTAAGCCCCAACATCTCAGCGGGTAGTAGACAACGCCAGAAGAACAGTTATCCCCTGGGCTCTTAAGGAAAACTGCCTTCATGGACCACAAGTTGCACTCCTCAGCCTTACACCTTCATTTCAGAGGCCTCCTCCTCAGAGCAAGATCTGCCACATGCCCACACCCTCTTCCACAATAAGAATGGGGAATACAATCATAACCGACCCCGAGGGCTACCCCGGCCCAGCAGCACCTCTCTGCCTCAGGAAAGTCTCCTAGGCAAGGTCTCCCTTGCTAACCATGGCCCAGCCAGGACGGCAGGAGAACCAACAAGGCAGGAAGTTGCATTCACCTTCCCAAAAGCCTCCTTTCCCCAGCAACCACCCTGTGCCTTCTCAGCTTTAACTCAGCTTACAACAGCCCCAAAGCACGTACATTATGGTATATAGCCTTTTAGCTTTCTCCCATGCTTAGGACACACAATGAAACCAGTCGTTGGGCTCCTTGTCATCTCTGTCATTCCACACAAACACCCTTAAAGTCCTCATGGTAGGGGGTACCTGACACATCTTATATGACTCAACGATGTCCCGGGAACTGAACCCACACACCCATCAACACAAATATCTTAAATGGCAGCTATACTCAAGGGGACTTTCCATTAACATCCCATATTGACAGATGACAGGACAAGGAGCGATGGGCTCAAGCTGCAGCAAGGGAGGCTTAGGTTGGATATTAGGAAAAACTTTCTCCCTAGGAGGGTGGGGAAGCACTGGAACACGTGACCCAGAGAGGTGGTGGACTCTCCATCCTTGGAGGTTTTTAAGACTGAGGTAGACAAAGCCCTGGCTGGGATAATGTAGCTGGGGCTGGGGCTGGGGCTTGGGCTGGGGCTGGGGCTGGTCCTGCTCTGAGCAGGGGGTTGGGATGGGACCTCCTGGGGGCCCTCCACACCCTCATTTTCTGTGAGTCTATGATATTAAAGTGATACGTGTCCAGCCAATAAAGTGGTTTGCAATACCTCAGCAAATTGCACTTAAAACAAAAAAGAAGTTTGGTAATGTGATTTTAAAAAAAATAAATAAATAAATCAAGCTTTTACATAGATGCTTCTCTTCTTTAGCTACACGGAGCACCTGCAGCAGTGCAGCAAACCAAAGCACAAGAGGAAATGCAGGAGTGGAACGAACATCTGCGCCGGGGAAAAGCTCATGAGACCCCACGTTTCCCCGACAGGGAGGCAGCTGGTAAATAAACAGACTGTCATGTTAAGGGTTGAGAGAGAAACTGCTTTTCTGCCTATGGAGACTTTTTCTTTTGAAACTGGAAATGTTGTTTTCTCGCAGATACAGCTAGCTCCGAGCACCTGAGGGAAGACATGGGGAGCAGCTTTGTTCGGGTGGGGGGTGGAAATGGGGACCGGGACCCGCTATGTGATTTCAGGTTTTGCTGTTGTGACACTTTTTGTCAGGAAGATGCTTCTCATTTTACTCCAGATTGACTGACTCAAGCTGGAGCTGATACAGGCCAATTCCCAGGGTTATTCTTGGAGTTAGATGCACTTGGCTAATACAGGCCTTTGCAAACCACATCAAGAGGGTCACAACATGTATAACTTAGCACTGTTTATCTAAAGGGCGGATATCAGCAAAACAGATACGATAAACTACAGCTGGACAAGGCTGGCTAAGCTTTCCTAGCCTGTTTTCCTCCCAAGCTGTTGCTTCTGCTGGGGAGAGCTCTTGATTATGGTGGGATGGAGTTAATCACATGCAGTGTGAATGGCTCCTTGAGATCCACCTTTGTGCAGGGTTTATACAGTTGTAGTAACTCCCCGATGTGTCCCAAGCACATGCCAGAGATGAGAGGGGAGGCGAGAAGTGGTTGTTAGGTAAAGCGGAGAGAGAACGAACAGTGCCGTACTCTCACCCCCTCCCCAACCGATTGCTTTCGTTCTTGATTGAGGACACACATGTCCATCTCCATGCGGGTGAATGTTAATGAGACGGCGGGAAAAAGCCAATGCAATGGAAGAAGCTGGAGGAGAAAGGGATTGTTAGCCCTCCGATGCAGGGAGCATGCTTGGGACATTAAAAGCAAATGATGACAGGAGCCTGGGGTCTCGTCTGCTTTTCCCTGCACCCAGTGCTATCTTTTGAAACCAGTGCAAAGTGGATACAGAAGCTACCAAGCCACAACCGTGCATGCACGTACATCCACTCTGCTTACCTGGCACAAGAGGGCAAGGCAGGTACAACGTGAAAGTCAGCAAACTCAGAAACACACAGCTCTGCAGCAAACCCAACAGCAAACATCAGAGATGGACCAGATCTAAGCACTCCAGAGGAGTTCAAACCCTGCAGCTCAGCACATCTCTGTTTAGAAGAGCTGAGATTCTCACACAGTTGCTTTCTTCCAGGAGCTGGGCCTTGAAGGGATAATGCCAAATATTGTGAGAGCTGGCAACACTGAACTCCTTTTTCCCATTCCTGCTGCACCACTGGGTTTCATCATGGTTGCATTCAGTAGCAAAATTTACCCCTCTGCAAGGTTACTCATGCTGGTGAACATTATTCATACAATCCCATTAGTTTTAACAAGATTATTTGTACATGTATCAGTTCACCAGGCTGAATCAGAGGTTCATTTTCTGGACCAGGATGTTTGTTCCTACTCCTCTAAGTGTTCAGAGCACAGCTGCAGGGGTAAGGGCACTCAGTACACAGTGCTTAGGAAGTCCATTAGGACACCTGAAATGGTTCCAAGAAGTAGAGCCTGGAGTAGTGGCTTTGCTGGTGAATTAACTGCGGACTCACATATGTTGTGTCAAGAACTGGAACGAAGTGTGTGTTTATTCAGCATGACTCCATCTGCTCGGGGAGAGTGGGTGGGAAGCTGATTTCCCTGTTTCCATATACACTCCCTGTTTCCAAACTGATCCCCCACCCAGATGACACCCTGTCATGCTAATGGATTCCTCTTCACTCGTGTGATTGATCATAGCTGGGGGTGCAGCAGTGGGATTCTAATTCTCCTGGTGCTCTTTGTACCAATTTATTACTAAAACTAACAAACAAAGAATACACACACACACACACACTATTACTAAAGCTAACAAACTGAGGATAGATAGATAGATAGATAGATAGATAGATAGATAGATAGATAATCTTCAGTTTGTTAGCTTTAGTAATAGTATATATATCTATAGATATATATAATGAGCCATTCCAGCCAAAGATGTTTTGTGGATCCCTCATTGTTTTTCAAAAATATAGCTCAAATTCACCTTTTCTACTTTGCCTACAAACCTTATACCAACCTTCATGTCTCTTTTAGACCTCCATCCCTTCTTTTTCTCCTACTCTGTCTCCTGGCATTGCTTTTCCTTACCCCAGTGCACTCAGTCCCGTGCAGTGCAACTTCTCAAAAAATTCAGAAGTCCTGGAAGAACAAAGTCATGAAGATCTACCATCTATTTTCAGAGAAAATAGCAGCAAGCGTCCCAGCTGCAAAGCAGAGCCTGAGGACGTGATCCCAATGCATCTTAATGCTTCAGAAGCCAGAAGGCCTCGA